GAGATGCCCGTCCCGGTGGTGCCTCGCTGGCTGAGGAGCGGCCGTGCCGGGAAGCTTCCCCGCAGGCGTTTAGGGCTGTGCAGCGGGAGGTCTGCATGGCCGTGGCAGCTCGTAGCCGTCCGGGGCAGTGGCCGTGCCTGTGGTGCGTCGCTCAGCTGGGACCGAGCCGTTTCCTTTCTCCTTTTGCCTGGTTTCTGGTGTGTGGCTTCAACGCTGTAATGCTTTCCAGTGTGTCAGAGCTCTGGCTTTTTTTTGTTTTTTTTTTTTTTTTTTTTTTTTTTCTTCTCTCTTTCTTCTCCTCCTGCGAGAGAACATCTTCCAGCTGGGCTCAGAATTATAGCTGCCTGATTGACATCTCTGGTGAAGCCGATGGGCAGAATTTGTGTGGAGGAGTGGCAGCCTGTTACATATTATTGTTTTGGAATCGAGGTGGGCAAACTGTATTTTTTCTTCTATGTATTTAAAAGCTAAATTACCTAACTACTGAAAATACGTTTTTCTCTAGTTCTCCAAATGGCTTCTTTTGGGTGGAAGAGAAAGATTGGTGAGAAAGTCTCAAAAGCTACTTCTCAGCAATTTGAAGCAGAAGCTGCAGATGACAAGGATCTGGCCGATGATGATGATGCTAACTGGGTGCATGCAACTAAGAGAAGAAAGGAAATTCTCTTGGAAGACTGTGTGAAGAAAAGTAAACAGCTGAAGGATGAAGGTGCAAGTTTGGCTGAAAATAGGAGGTACTAATGTTATCTTACACTTTTTGTTTGACTGGATGAGTGCTAAATGGTATTTTAGTCCCTTCTCTAAACACTGGGTAATTTGCTAGCAGCTACATTCACGTTTTTCATATTTGAAAAACTGATCATTTCTTTCCTTCTGCCTTTACTGTCTGGGACTAAGTAAGTTGTTACCTTTGGTGGTGTTGGCAGCTGTGAAGTGAAGTCTATTCCGTCTCATTTTTGTATGTTCATATAACAAATGATAGAAGGAGGGAGATGAGAAACGGATTGGATCTGGAAGCTGAAAGGGTAGATAAGATACAGTGAGATAAGCCATACTGTCAGTAATGCTTTAGCTACTCTGGTAGCTTTCTCTCCTGTTAAGAGTAAGCTTATTTGCATGTGTACAGTGCCTAGGCAAATACTGCAGAGCAGCTAATGGACTGTTAATCTGTCTGATGCTTTTGGAAAGTCAGGTTTATGTAGCTGCTCTGAACATCTTCTGATAGCAGTACTGAGTCTTGAGACTTCAGCAATTTTGGAATGACACGGCAAAGGTGGTTCCATTGTCCTATTATGCTTCACGCAGAAAGAACCTTTGGAGTAGGGGAGGGTTAGAGGAGGGAAGGAGGGACTATAAATTACATATTAACTACGTAATTTGGCTAGGTCTTCTCTGGAGGGGTACAAAACAGTTCCGAGAATAGTCCCCTTACAATCTGCAGAATGCTTGACATCTAAATCTGTCTCCTGACTTTACTTATATGAGCATCTCTGCTTCATTCATTGTCTCAGACCAGATATAACATCATTTTCCTGGTAGAAACAATTCCATAATAAGTCAGTATGCGCTCCTGTTTTGGTAAACTTTTTGTGTTAGGAATTTCATCCTAAAAAAGGGTTCCCTGGGCAACATGGAGGAAAGAACAATGTAGAAGTTTAAAGCAGGCAAGTTTATATATGATAATAAACACACTGTGTGTGTGGTCTGGTCTGATTTTAAAAATAATAAATAAATAAATTTCTTTGAGAAAAGGCTTGTGTTCAAATATTTAAATACGGATTCCTCTTTTTGCTGTTCACTTGAATGGTGACATTGTTTGGGGGGCAGTGATTCACTTCTGTACATCCTTTTGTGTTGCTGAGTTGTGTAATTCCTGAATAAAATTTTGAAGCCTTTTAAAGGTGACTTTTAAATTTAAACCAGACTAAGCTAAATACTGCCATTGTACCAATATCTTTAATGCAGTAGCTGCGTAAGTTGGTTACATTAATATTAATAGCTGAAAACACAGAATACACAAATTAGGAGTCTATTAACATCTTTGTTTTTAACACTGGAAATAAATCATACAGTGGTTTAAGACAGGTAGGTCTATTCTGTCCTTTTCAGGATATAGAGATTGCGGTTTTAAGCTTGAGAAAACAGAAGTATTTCTAAATGTTTTCATTCCACATATGGTAATCACTAGTATTTACTGTATTGACGTATATTAAACAGAGATTGATTTTTATTTCTGTCTTATCTTCTGTTCTACCTTTGCCTTCCTTGTATTTTGCTTTGGATATTGTATATCTTTTTTCTGTGGATTTTGGTGTTCTTTTTTTGATTTTTTTGTTTTTGTGTATTATGTATGGTGCAATAAAACTCCTGAACAGCAGCAAATAATCTGTTGTATATGTGGTTTAGGACAGGGAGATACAGACTGCTGCATGTTTATTTTGAGCAGCAGGTGATTTTTGGTGCTTTTAATATCTTAAGTTGGTCTTTTTCTGTTATCTGTCAGTTAGAAAACAATACAAAAGCTTAACCCATCCGTAAGTAGCAACAAAAGGGTTTTTTGTTAATTTAGTGAGAACTACATCTCATCAGAAGTGCTTAGAGAGATACTGAGAAACACTGAATGGCTTATAACAAGTGTGAGAAACAAGTAACAAGAAATTAAAATGCAGCTTACCACACTCTTTTGTGTTAACACTCTTATATCTGAGGCTTAACAGAAGTTCTAACTTGAAATTATAGTTTCCATCAATTATTCTAGCACACTCTGTACAGTTTGGGCAATTATGGTAGTATGGTGCTGTCAGGGCACATAACTTTCAGACGGATCTTTCTCTTAAAAAAAAAAGATTTCACTTAGATTAGAGGCTAAACTCACAGTGGGAGGCTTTTGCTACTTAAACAGGTGGAATAGTTGACATACCGTTACAGGGAACTTGAGGAAGCAGATTGAAAAGAATGTTTATTCTCTCTGGTGGAAAGTGGTTGCTGTAATTGTGTTTCAGACTTACATGGTCTATTTCTTGAACATACATTTGTATAACATAAGCAGACTCATGTAAATAATTAAATACTTAATGTAGGTTGTTTCTTGAAATATCAAAGCATAATAACAGTTAAAGAAAGATTTGAGCTGGATTGTGTAGCATTTAGTTGAAAGGATGGTATCTCTTCCACTGAAGAAACTCAGAAGAAAAGCGAAGACTGAGCACTAGAGGGTAACTAAGGTGGTATCTTAGTTGGTGTTACTTGTGGAGTGGAGAGAAGAAGGGGATCCTGAAAGAAAACAGACTTGGGAAGAAGAAAGAGGCTAAATGAAGGAAAGAACGGAAAGTAATAAATTAAACTTCACTTCTTATGTAAAAGAGACTGAGGTAAAGTGCATGGCAAAATTAATATGATGAAAGATGAATTTTATAAGCGGATCCACTATTACTTAGCTAGAATAGTGATTACCACCTTTATGCTTGGTTAGTCCATTAGCTTATTTTTCTGGTAAGGGAAGGCTGTGATAGTGTTACACCCCCACTATGGTTTTGTTAGTCTCTGTGTATGCAGTAAGTCTGTTTCTGTGGATGAGTGAGATCTGATTGACTTGTGCTTGTAAAGTGAGTCTCAGTACTTCTTGGGGGGAAGGAATAATGAATGGGCTTCTTGGGGGTTGGAATTTGTACAGCCTGCTTTCTTTGCCCAGTGGCAAACCCAGGAGCGGCATGGGTGAATTCTTTTGGAGGTGGCAGCCCTCTATGGGTTTTCAGCTTTTGTGGGAGCTGCTTGAGGAGTATTTGTACCTGCTGTAATATGTGTGGATGAACTGTTAAGCTGAGACTGAGACACACACAGAAGAAAAATGGTGCTGAAGATAACAGTTTCTGATCCATATTTTACTCTTTTTGTGGGATGGGAAGAAAGATGGAGAGACTAACAGAAACAGGTGTTGAACTAAGTTGATTATCCCAGTGGGTCTGTTACTGTGGAAGACATGGCTTAGGAAATTCTGACCTAGAGACTTGATCAGTAGGCAGTTACGAAGATGACTTGTGAATGAGTGATCTCACTGTCAGAACAGAAAGGAAAGGCAGGTATGTGGAACAAGTGGCACATTTGTGTGCGCTTTTGTTGTGTGGAAAGGAGCAATTAAACAAACTTGTACAAACATATACACAGTCTTTTGGGAAACAGAATATTGTCTGTTGGTGGAAAGAATTGAGAATATTCCAGATGAGAAATTGTTTTTGCTTATATGAATGCTTATAATGCTCACATTTTATCCAACTTGAGACACCAGTATGGATGTGCCCACATACCCTGGAATTAAAAAAAAAAAAAAAAAAACAACAGCACAGAACAAAAAACCAAACAAAAAACCCCAAAACAACAACCATAATCTAGGTTAGATTTCTTGTGTTGATAGTTCTATACTGTTTTAAATCCAGCACAATCTGAAAGGATAAAAGTTCATGTGCTCAGCCTCAGTATTTTGAACACAGCAATTTGCAATTACAGTGTATGTTGTCTGGTAGGTGGGTAGACTTTGGCTGTGGACACAAGCTTAAGAACAGATTTAGGTGAGGTTAAACAATGAAGTATAATGTCCTCAAACAAATTGCATGTAGAGAGGTAACAGCAAGGAGAAGAAAAACTTCTGTCAGACTAGTATCTTCAATATAATTGAGTTGCATATTCATATAGATGGCTTTGCAATCCCCCTGTGCCGTTTTCAAACTACACACGTTTTTGTAGCTGGTCCAGTAGGTGGAGATAGAGTTCTTCTGAACGTACCCTGAAGATGCGCAAAAAATGCTCATCTAAATACTTCATTTTCTATTGCAAATAGACGCTATTGGGTTTAAATTCTTATTGATTTGCATTTAATTTTTCAATTTTGCTAAATAAAAGTTAATACTGCTCTCTTCTGATGATATTTATTTATTATTCCATATTGCACTAAAAAAATCTCTCTCTAAAGCTGGTACTGGTATGGGAAGGTCATGTTTTCAGCTGGAACACTCTTATGTTTTAGCTGAGCTTATAGAGATTCACCTATGTTAAATATTTGTTGTCACTTTGTCGCGTGATGTCACTTTGTCGCGTGATGTCACTTTGTCGCGTGATGTCACTTTGTCGCGTGATGTCACTTTGTCGCGTGATGTCACTTTGTCGCGTGATGTCACTTTGTCGCGTGAAATTAGGTTTTACTCTTTCTTTCCTTTAGCTTTTGCAGCAGCAAATTAAATAAGGACATGCCAAAGTGCTATGAGCAGACCAGATAATAGGTCAAATTTCATGAAACTGTTTACTTTTCTAGAGGAATTAATCTTTGAGAATTACTTAACTTAGTTTTTTGATCTGTTTTAAAAAAGAAATTGGAAGTGCTACTTATTCCGCATTTTAGCAGTTGAGACTTTTTTCCTCTGGTGCTAATATGCCAGCATCACTTCAACATGTGTAGTTTGTGATTCCGTAGCAATATGAGTTGTAATTGAGTTTGTCTTTCTCACTAGACATTGTAAGGTGTCAGTGTCAGGTGATAAGGCACACTCCTTTAAAAAGTGTGTTTGGTGTAGTGGTAAGTTAAGTGTTATCAAAAAAATAATATATTTGGCAGACAGAGCAGAAGAATAATACCTATTTAAATAAAGTTGGAAAGCCTTTCTGTCATGTTCTTACAACATTTGTATTTGTTCAATTTATCCGTGTCTTTCAGGTTTAGATTATGATAAGGACTTGATTACTA